GCAAAAATTATTTCTCATATTTTAGATCAGAAATTGTACATTTTCGGGGCTAATTTAACAATGTTTAAACAAACTAATTTGTTTTTGCTAACCTCGTGTTCTTAGGAAGATGGATTTCGGTTTAATTATCATATATTGATAGTTATCATATTTGAACATTATGAATTCTATTAATTATGTTTAAATTTTATTTAATTATATCGCGAAAATGTATAGCTTTGACCCACCAACTTCAATCGTTTCGAAAATTTTTCCAAAATTTAAACATTGTCGAATAAACGAATCACGGAATCCGATAAATTAAAACTGAAGTCGTACTTACCTCGTTTTCGGTCCTTTTCGGAAAAATATCCATTTTCGTTCGCGTTCACAGCACTAACACAACATATTTTCCGTAATATTTATTAATAATAAAGTAGAAATTCGCTAAAACGCTCCATTTTTACGCCAAAATGAAGCGACGATCTTGCGGCCATCAAACAGAAATTAATACTGAACACAAAGGACCGCAAAACGTGACCTTTATACAGGTAGCTCACGTGACATTGACGTCATCGTACGTCACCATGACACTGCAAAATTTATTTTTCATATTTTGGCCGAGAAAATGCACATTTTCGGGGATAATTTAACACTGTTTAAACAAATTGATTTGTTTTTAATAAATTCGGGTTTGTAGGAAAACGAGTTTCGGTTTAATTATCGTATATTGATGCTCATCATATTTAAACATTATAAATGATTTTAATTATGTTTAAAATTTATTTATTTATATCGTGAAAATGTATAGCTTTGATCAACCAGTTTCAATCGTTTCGAAAATATTCCCAAAATTTAAACATTGTCGAGTAAACGAATCACCGAACCCAATAAATTAAAACTGAAATCGTACTTACCCTGTTTTCGGTCCTTTTCGGAAAAATATCCATTTTCGTTCGTGTTCACAACACTAACACAACATACTTTCCGCAATATTTATTAATAATAAAGTAGAAATTCGCTAAAACGCCCCACTTTTACGCCAAGACGACGCGACGATCTTGCCGCCATCAAACAGAAATTAATACTGAACACAAAGGACCGCGAAACGTGACCTTCGGACAGGTAGCTCAGGTGACAGTGACGTCATCGTACGTCACGATGAGATTGCAAAAATTATTTTTCATATTTTGGCCGGGAAATGCACATTTTCGGGGATAATTTAATAATGTTTAAACAAATTGATTTGTTTTTAATAATTTCGGGCTTTTAGGACAACGAGTTTTGGTTTAATTATCATATATATTTATGCTTATCATATTTAAATTTATTAATTTATATCATGCATGTGTATAGCTTTGATCAACCGACTTTAATCGTTTCGAAAATTTTCCCAAAATTTAAACATTGTCGAGTGAAGGAATCACGGAATCCGATAAATTAAAACTGAAGTCGTCAGATAATTAGTTTTTCTTTATGCATAAATTGTGCAGTGCGTTCTTTCTAACACTGACCATAGAGATTCCCAACTCAAGGTGTCTACCCCATACTAACTGATATTTTGGTGACTCGATTTTTGCCTTGATGGTTGAACACTGTCACTGTTTTCCGTTTTTGTTGTATCGATATACTACTTGAGCATCAACTGTTACCTACTGAAGTATTAGCATCATCTAGAAAAACTAGAAATATTTTGATTTGATATTCGAGTAGATACTTCGTAGTTCGAGTATGAGCATCTACTGAGTTTTATTTATATCAACCATTGTCAAAAATTTGATCGAACGTTGTTTCGACAGAACTTCCTTCGCACCAAAAGTATAATAATAATAATAATAACTTTATTCAGTATTAATATATATCAATATTTATGAAACATATTCAGCATTTTCGAGTTGAGTCTTTTCTTCACACAATTTTGTGATGACTTAATCAACATTTACGATCAACACGTGTACCACCTTGGATTGGTGCAGTGTAATACTAAAAATAACTGTATTGTATTCCCAAAATTATCTGCGAAAATCGAGTGGGCCGTTCCATCAATTTTTTGGGGGGAATAAGTAAATATTCTTAACAATTTACCATGCTTACAATAACTTTAAAACGTCTGCAAGATCTCAAAGAAGTCATTTCTTCAACTCTTGAGTTATTCTCTAAAATAAATTGACTGATCCATACATTTTTTGGAGTCACTGTAAAAGCAAATCTAAAAAATATGAATGCAATGATAAATTACGAAAATACACTGATGATGTTTTGCACATTTTAGATAGGATTTGTTCGGCAAAATCTTGAGATGACGTCATCAAGTTTTTGGGCTTGATAAACAGATATATTTTGATTAAAAACCTACCATGTCAAACAGTAACTTCAAAACGTCTGCAATATTTCAAAATTCAGTTTTGCAATTCTTGATCCAATCAATAAAATAAATTGACTCAGTGATTAATTTTTTTGAGACACCCCCTATAAGCAAAACTAAAAAATATGAATGGAATGATAAATCACAAGTATAGTCTTATCCTATCTTGGACATTTTAGAGAGGATTCATTTGGCAAAATTTTGGGCTGACGTCATCAATTTTTTGGAGGGGATAAGTAAATATATTTTGAATAAAAATTTATTATGCTTATCATATGTTTAAAACATCCGCAAGATTTCAAAGCATTCGGCTTTGCAGATTCAAAATTAAATTGTAGGTGAAACGAAGTTCACGGGGTCAGCTAGTATATTTATAAAAAAAATTATTACCGAGTTGATAGCGAACGCAAACAAGTAATAAGCTAATAAGAGATCAGAGAAAAATAGATACGTGATCACTGATCGATCAGGTAAAAGTAAAGTAGCTCCATCTCTTGCTTTCAACAGACGCTAAATAACAAATTGTAAAGGATAAAGCAAAAATGTATTAAAAAAATTAAGGGCGAAGAACAGGATGAGATGAATCAGGCATGAACTCAGGTGTGGAACGTTTTAAGGGATCTCTAGAAGAGGAGACAGGGTGGGAGTATTGAAGTAAGCCTATTCATTAACACAATTTAATTTGTGGTCTTTGACTGACTTATAAATTTCGAGTATTTCAAAAAAGTTAAGAGCAGTGCTTTTATTTAAAATGTGTAGGACTTTGATATTATTAACCGGATGAAAGGAATGATTGTTTTCTAATATATTTATATCTATATCATAAAGTCAACTATCTAGTTGTACCTAAAGCTGATAAAGGGACGACTAATTACACTTGTATGTATCTCCATCACTTCTTCTGAAAGAATATGTCCGCATAATGATCATTGGCATTTTTACACAATCGACAGAGTGATGCATTTTTCAGAATATTAGTTCGCGAGGTTGCACGATTAATTACACTTGTATCTCCATCACTTCTTCTGAAAGAATATGTCCGCATAATGATCATTGGCATTTTTACACAATCGACACACTGGTGAATTTTTCAGAATATTAGTTCGCGAGGTTGCAAAACTAAATGTCACTGAGTGACGAGCATTTCTTCTCGGTACATGGAAGTTAACTTCAAACAAAATATTGGGACAATCTACCTGATTATTTTCCACATAAAGTGAGCATTCTGCAAATTTCTTCTTGATGTCAAGGACTGCATGTTGTGTTGATGAAGTAAAGTTTCATAATGGACATTCCTTGCCGGGTATACACCTGTAGTTTTAAATGATAGAAATTTGAGGAAACGACGCTGGACACGTTCAATAAGTAGTTGATAAGTAAGATAATACGGAGACCACACAATCGAGACATATTCTAGCTTCCTACGGACAAAGGAAGAATATAGTGACTTAAGCAGGTCCGTATTTTTGAAATATATGGCGGAACGCATTACAAATCCCAAACTTTTGGATGCAGATGAGATTATAGCTATAATATGTTGGGAGAAACTGAGTCGATGATCAAATAAAACCCCCAAATCTCTGATGGTATCAGTTTTGACTAAAAATTGATCATTTATGTAGTAACTAGGTATAACGCTGTTATTGCGACAAAAAGAAACATAGAAGCACTTGTTAGTGGTTAATTTTAAGTGATTATCAGGGCACCATTGTACAATAAGGTTAATATTATTCTGGAGATGGTCAACATCATTCGCTGACGAGACATGAGAAAAAAGTTTTACATCATCTGCAAAGCCAAGGATAGAGCAACACGTACCATTAAGAGATCATTAATGAATAACGGAACAGCAGCGGTCCAAGATTGGAACCTTGTGGTATGCCAGAAGTGGACATGTAATCAAATGATTTATAACCATTGTAATAGACATAGTTGAGCCTATTGATTAAATACGAACGTAACAATGCAAGGAATGATGAACCAACACCGAACATATCAAGCTTATTTAATAAAATTGAGTGATCCACTGAATCAAAAGCACTTGAGAGATCGGTATATACCACGTCCACCTGGCCACAGGATGGGAGTATTGAAGTAAGCCTATTCATTAACACATATATACTTATTAAAAATTACTGCGAAGTTAACAATTTTCTAGATAATGGCATCTTTAATAAAATGATTCGAGATCCTACCTCCAAATTTATGTCTATTCTTCGCTCCACCTTAGAAGAGATCACTCCTATAATTACTTTGCAGTGGGATAGGAGTCTCAATGGACCACTCTGTGTGATTGGTAGAGAGCGGATTTCTGTCGGGCTAGACAAGGCCAAACTCGGTACGGCTCGTACGGGATGGGAATTCATTGCAGTTACCGGCTGCACTTCGTTTATTTGAGATTAGAATAACGCTGCTTCGTTGCACTCTGCTGTTAATTCCAGTTCTCATTTAGTTAGCCGTTTGATTAATAAATCGTTAATTGTATTTATGGAATCAAGTGACAATTAAATTCAGTGATTACCTATCACCCGCTACTGAGTCCCGGCGATGCAGCGCGTCCCCACTAAAATCGTGACGTAGCCCGACAGAAATCCGCTGTCTAGTGATTGGTGAACTTGAGACCAAATCCCAAGAGGCTCGCCAAAAATCTTCTACGTCAAGTGTCTATAATCTTCTCTGACGCATGTGTGTGACGTTTCAAGCATTTTGAGGTTATAAAACTCAAAATAACAATAATAGTGGACCAGCTGATACTTACGGCTCTTAATATGCATTATTTTGCCTCTTCCGAGTAACTGCAATGAATTTGGGTCCCACGAATCCTTACGGGAACGGTTTGTTGTACGCGGGTTTTAACCAAGACCATGGTAAATATTTCATTACCTACTTTTCCACATTTCACAGTCAATGTTGCAGGTTGTTTTGCTTGTGGCACAACTACAGGCTTCCGTATTTACAACTGCGATCCACTGAAAGAAAAAGAGCGCCATGATTTTGATAATGGGGGTTTGAGTTATGTTGAAATGCTGTTTCGATGTAACTATCTTGCACTGGTTGGTGGTGGCATTAAACCGCTTTTTCCTCCAAATCGCTTGATGGTATGGGATGATTTAAAGAAAACAACACCAATAGCGTTAGAATTTAACGCCCCTGTGCTAGCAGTGAAGTTGAGACGAGATCGCATAGTGGTAGTTTTAGGTAACTATACAAATGTGTATTTAAATTATGGTAGTAAGAAATTGGATTTTAGAGGGGGTTATTAAGGTTTACACTTTTACACAATGTCCCCAACAACTACACGTCTTCGAAACCAGTACAAATTCGAAGGGTTTGTGTGTTCTCTGTCCTAATAGTAATAATTCATTATTGGCGTTCCCTGGTCGCAAAACGGGACATGTGCAATTGGTAGATTTAGCGAACACGGATAAGGGGCCTATGGACATTGTGGCACATGAGGCTGCTCTTAGTTGTATTGCTTTGAATTTACAAGGAACTCGATTAGCAACAGCTAGTGAAAAAGGAACTCTCATTCGAGTGTTTGATACTGCAACGGGTGATAAAATCGCAGAGTTAAGGAGAGGTGCTCATCAGGTAATGTTTTTTATTAAAAAAATATAAACTGTTTACAAAAATTATATCACATGTTGCAGAAAATTGTTTAAAGATAATTCATTAATAGATAAGAAAGACAATTACACTTAAATTATTTATTATCTGCAATATAAAAAGACTGGAGTTTTGTAAATTCTAAGTTTTATGTAACAAATACAAAAAAAGAGACACTCTAAGACAGGAAATAATCAGACAGTTTTTATTAAATGTTTCGAGTTGTTTGCTTATATGTAAGTATTTTAGCCCACTAAGAGTAAGAAAGAGTAGCAAAAAAACGAAATTTAAGAACAAGTTTGATATATTGTTGATATCAAATTTCAAAATAGTCACAAATGCGATAATAAAATATCGTATAATATTCACAGTTGTGGGCGTGCTCTTCACTTTGACATTTATCATTCGAACTTTCGCCCCATCATACAGTAAAGAATGTAGATAAACAGTCATTGCACTTATCATAACATTTAAATTTGCCTTAAATAAATAATCAGCTTTGATAAAAAAGGTAAATATTTTTAATGTAATAAGTTTAAATCCATACATTTTTATTTTAAAATTTTCTTTGAGTTTTTTTTAAGCACAGTGTGACCGCTGCATTTTAATGTAATCTGTTAGATGTGAAAAAACTGAGATTTAAATTTTTTTATATTATAAAGTTGATGTGTCCTGCTTTTTTTGTGTTTTTTTTTTATTATTGTATAAAAATTTATGTGTGTGTATTTAATCGCCGTTATATTTTCGTGACAGAAAAATGTGTTTAGTTTTTTTTTTTTATAAATTTTCAACAGTACAAATTTAGCTTTAAATAGTTTGCGTCGGTGCCTTCATATCATCTGTTGATACTTAGTTTAATAACATTTCTGATTACGTCTTGTTGACTCCAAATAAAATCTTGTCAAAATGAAATTTCATCCACTGCCAGCGATGGGAAAATGACAAACTTCAACCTTAATGAGTAGAAAAAATTAATTTTTCTTTAAATAGAAGGTTCCATATATACATATTTGGACAATTCGAAGCCGCATTGCAAAGAAAACGTTTGTATGTTTATCCTAGTTTTGAATTTATAGTTTTTTCTTTTCTTAAGGAAAATGAGTTAACGAAAAAACTTCGTTTTTTAAACAATACATTTTTTTAGTTTTATGTATAATTCCACAATTTTAAAATATTAATGTGGTGACTTTGTAGAAATTTTCAGTGTAAAGAGAAAAATCTATCATTTGTTTTCATAACAAAAATAGATATAAAACTGTTGAGGTAGTAAGTTGAAATCAATGGTTAAAGTAAAGGTAAACCAGCATGCTATATGTATATTTTAAGTGAGTTTTTCCATTACAAAATTTTGTGATGACCTCATCACCATGTAAATGTGGGTAATAACAGTCCTGTATTCTTAATTTTCGTGAAAATGGAGTCCTTGATGATGTGTTCAATAAAATAAACACTTTTTTAGTCATCATGTATAAGTAATTCTAAAAAATATGAATGCATTGATAAACAACGTGTACAGACTCATAAAATTAAAGATAACGTCATCAATTTTTGGGAAGGGCTAAACGGATAAATTTTAATTAACGATCTAGAATACCATGCTTACGATAACGTTAAAACGTTTGCAGGATTTCACAGAAAACGGTTTTGTAGTTTCAAAATTAAATTGTAAAGTGTTTTTATACAATTTAAATTTTTTCCCAAAAATATGGACAAAATTAAAAAATCAAGACGGATTCATAAATCACAAGTGGAGGAGCATTTTATTTTATAAAATTTAAATAACAATATTTTGAGGTGACGTCATCATATTGTTGGTGGGGATTTATTCTTATTTTCTATTCTTAAAATGCACGTCAAATGTGACAACAATCGGTCCAGTAGTTTCGGAGATTATATGTCTAATAAAAATGGGCGCAGACCTATTGTCATTAAATGTTGACAAAACATGAAAGTAGCCATTTGATGGATGGGCGTTATTATGATATTAAATATGACGGCAAATCAAAGTGTAGTTAAAGTCTATTAATATGAAGAAGGATTTTTTTGTAATGGTGATGAAAATATGAAACACGCACAATAATTTCCAATTATTTATGAGAAAAAAATATTAACAATTTTTGTTTAAAAAAAGTAGCTTAAAATTAGGGCTTTTTTAATAGAAAACAGGTGTATCTTTCGCAATCTATACATTTAAATTTGTTAAAGAAAATGTGATCGAAATTTATTTCGATAGAACTTCCCTCACCTCTGAAGTACAATCCAACAAATCTCACAACTTTGAAAAATTATAAAATGTGATTTTGCAATTTTTGTTTTGTGATTGTCTAAAAAAAAGATGGTGGTGTAAATAACACCCCCGTAGCCCCCGCGAGAGCACGGTCCGCACAAGTAAGGACAGTATGAAATATATTTAAAGCGGATAACCAACGGGAAAAGTGTATTGTTAGTAAATACATGCTTAACTTCCATTGTTTATGTTTGTGACAACCTCTATAACCTAAAGACCGATGGTATAAATAAGAGCCCCGCAACCTCTGGACTATGGGTGTGTAAATTCTAAAGGGACGCTGTACAAGGACGGACAATGTAAAATATATTTAATGCAGATAATCAACGGGAAAATGGCCTCTCAGCACTAGTAACAAATGTTTATCTTTATACATCGAAAGAATATCACGTAGAAATTTATTTGATTTCAATGAGTTTGTCGCCGCAAAACACAACTAAAATTATTGATTAAGCTACAATCAAACAAAATGTTCTGAATATTATTATTATTATTCTTATTTTATGATTATTAAATACATATGTTAAAAAACTGAAATATCGACATTTGAAAATTGTAAAGTTTAATTTTTTTATAACACTGTGTATTAACACCGATCCTAAAAATAACGTTGTTGCGATTTTTTTGTAAACTCTGCTTTGCTGAAAAATCCAAAAATATGAAATTTCAAAAATATGCTGTGATTACAACGCTTAGGAAGAGGGAAATAAGAAGTGTATTCTATTTAAAAAGGCTTTTTTGGGCAGTTATTGGTTAGATAATTTCCAAAACCAGCGCCAGCTAAAATTTATTTATTATTTCTACTTAATGAAAACAAATGTTTTCTGGCACATTCTTTTTTTAACGTAATAAATATTTAGGACTTTTGGGTTGGTTATCCTGACCTGAGCCTACTAAAATATCCAAGGTAAATCGGTCGTTAGTTCTTGGGCTAATATGTATTATTATTAAAGAGGAAACGGCACTATCTCAAGACATATCTTTTAATAAATATTTATTTCCTCATTTACTGAGACATCAGTTTTCTGGATGGGTTAAATAATTAATTTCCTGTAATGATTATAAAATACTACCAATCTGTTGCGAATCAAGCAAGCGTTTGTCAAAAACGCTAATATGTCCTTTAACTTATGCTCTGATAATGAAAAAAAAAAAAAATGCAACGAATTAGGACTGGAAACTTAAAAGTCAAATACATATTTCTTTTTTTTTTAATGCAAGGTTAAGTTCAGTTGTTTTGGCTTTATTCATTATAATGGAGATTTAGCTTTAATTTCTAATTCAATGTAATTTTTTGACGAATTTGAACAGTATCAACGAACTGTTACGTATGCCTGTGTTAATTTTTTGCGAACATGTGGACGTTTAGGGAAAAAATTCAAATCGGATTCGTACACTACAAGTATAGGAGTATATTCCTGAAAAACATTTGGATCATTTTAAAATAGAATTCTTTGAAATGACGTCTTAAAATTGCTGGGTCCGATGATTAACCAAATTTTGGTTAGCGTTTTACCGTCTACATGATATTTCTAATAGACGTCCAAATTTGACAACAATCGGCCAGTAGTTTCGGAGATTACGGGTCTAATAAAAATTGACATAGACGCCAGACAAACAAACAAACACACGGAGACGGGGAATTACTTTTTTCATATTCTGGGGGTCATGAAACGTAGAGAAAACATAAAAGTGACCATTCGTCCTATGGACTCGATTACTATACCATTAACTTACATTCAGGAAATAAAAAAGTAGGAAACAACTAAGGTTTCGCAAATATTTATTTTTACCGGTTGGTAAAAGTTATTTGTATAAATTATACGAACTCAAATACCGAGTGACTGTTAATAATTAAACCAAATTTTTGGGTTGGCAATTCTGAATTATTGGCAGCAATGTTAGAATGTCAATTCACAGTTGTCAGTTTTGACATGAGCGCGCCTAAAAACCAATAAGAAAATGGCATCTACTGAATTGGTACACAAAATTTGAATTTGACATCAGGTATGCCATTATAAAATTATAAATACGCTTCCCACCTGACAAAAAAAATCAAAATTTACCAAATTGTACTCTTAGTTCTCCCTTTTTGTTCTTAAAATTATGTAACGAAAAACAAAATAAAATTAAGCGAGACAAAAATTTATTGGTTTATAAAATAGATATTAACAAAAGTTGCGTAATAGTAGCAGTGTGATTATAAAACGTATTTAAATAAGTCTTATGATAGGTGTAATTAATATGTGCTATATACCCTGTTTCCTACAATATATACTCAGACATTTTTATGCTTCGATTGAGGTATTAAAATGTATAAAATGTTTTGTCACACCCTGTATTATCAGCAGGTCATTTCTAGTAAAATGAGACAACTGCTCACACCATGCACACATTTCATTTCACTGATGTTTGTTAGACGGCAAATATAATTTTCTTATTATTTTTTTTTTTAATTTTTAGGCAACAATCTATTGTATTAATTTTAACCACAACTCAACTTGTTTGTGTGTGGCTTCCGATCATGGTACTATACACATCTTTGCGTTAGATGATCAGAAACTGAACAAACAATCAACTTTAGCGAACGCCATGTTTTTACCCAAGTATTTCTCCTCGACTTGGTCCTTTTGTAAGTTTACGGTTCCGAATGGACCCCCTTGCGTCTGTGCATTTGGTGCAGACAACAATTCTGTTATTGGTAACTACGCACATGAATTATTTGTTAACAGTACTAATTATATTTATTTTTCAGTGATTTGTGCCGATGGTTGTTACTATAAGTTCGTTTTTAATCTGAAAGGCGAATGCGTGAGGGAGCAAAGTGCCCAGTTCCTTGAAATGACTGATGATAATGCATAGACTGGAATCATAGTACATGTGATTGTATAGTTGTTGTTATTTCTGGGGGACTTACCTTTGAAAAATACAGCAATCAAGACATGCGCACGAATCAAAACTTCACGTTGAGCTACATTTAGTGCCCATACTAGTAATATTTGATCATACTTAGTTTAGACCTTGAAGTTGTTTAAATTTAAAGCTCCATGTGTGCATGTCATTTTTTGTAAAATTTAAAAGCACATAGCTCTGTAATAGAAGACGTGATTTTCAAAACATACTAATTTCGCTGTAATTTCTCAGTATAAATAAATATTTTATTATTTAATAGAAAAAATGCTGTACCTAAGTTACATTAAATTTATTTAATACATCTCTATCGAATTTCACAGAAAAATAGCATATCTGTGCAAGTTTATAATTTCATAAGACACCACCAATCCAATACATTATAGAGGGAAGAAAACGATTGGGGACACTCATTTATTTATCACAAATGGCTAATAATGAGATGTTCACATTAAGATACAATGCGACTCTCATTATTATTGTCATTGTTCTAAATTGGACATCTACGAAGCATACAAGGGACGAGTGTCGTCTTCTAACACACCAAACATTTTGTTATAATGTATGTTTCTTTTTTTGACATTTAGACTAACGGTTTGTTTGGGTCACTACGCATAGGTTTGATGGTATGAGTATAACCGCCATAAGCGTGGATTATTGTTGGAGAAAGAGATCCAAATCGTGATGCACAACCATTTCTTCCTAAACTTAGGTAATACAATACAATTGTATACCACATTTCGATAAAAACCATTGACGCAGCTAAACAGACCACTGAAATATTCACGCTAAAATTTAAATTCAGACTTCAATTGTGGATTCTTACGCATAACTGGATAACTGATGTACACTCCAGGTATTAGGTCAAGGTAGCCCATAATCGCTGTCGTAATTGCCAGCAAGAAAGTGATGCCGCTGATAAGCAACCATGGGATGATATAAATGGATGTCATCGTGGCCACTCCGTAAACTAGAACCGCAGCTAGGACAAGATTAACCCAAGCCAACCACATGCATATTGAGAAAATTTTGCTGGAACCTGAGAAAAAATCGTCAATTAGTTACAACCTTTCGTTAGTGAAATACATTTTAGAAAAAGCGGGTAACACTTACTTTCACTTGTAAATTTCAAATATAAATCCTAAAAATTTCGACTTGAGTTAGTATTTTCGATTTTTCATAGTTAATTTTAAAAAATTGAGAAAATACTAACTCAAGTCGAAGAACGTACGATTTTAAAACCATTCTGAAATTTTAGCTAGAGTTGAAACTAGAAACATACAGGAAATTTAAATGAGTTTCCCACGATCATTATCTTGGAAGGACTAACCAGTGCTCAAAAATTTGATGACATATCATTTTCTATATCTAGCGAAAAAGTTGTATCCTTTAAAATTTTACTATTCTAACATACATATATAAGGAACAAATAGTGCGGTTCTTTATTCATAAAGTGAAGTTTCATTTTGCTAATTCATAAGTATTTGTATTTTCTATTTTACACGTTGTAAAAAAGCATGAATTTCGCGAATCGCTCAGAAAAGATAATATTTTGTTCAGCTATGTAAAAATGCTGTACTGATGCGACTTTTGATTCATAAAAAAGCGTAAGTTCAGTTCTATCACACTGTCTATTAGTTGAAAGAGATATTTTTTATTTTATATGGTAAAAAAATTAAAAAAGCACAACGACACGCGATGTTCCTAAGCGGTCACCCATCCAAGTACTAACCGCGCCCGACGTTGCTTTACTTCGGTGATCGGACGAGAACCGGTATTTTCAACATGGTATGGCCGTTGCTATCAAATTATGTTTTATTCTAGAATTTAAACAGCTTTGTCCTTTGACGTAGATAAAAGAATAATACTATGCAGTCAAATCTGGAACACGTTTTTTCTTTTTTTTTTTTTTTCATTTTTAACGCTTAGACGATATTCTACATTCTAAAGGGGGTAGAGTGATGATCGCAAACATTACTTGACCCCAAGGAAAGGATATCTTCTGCCCTTCGTAGATTTCCGGTTCCAAAGTGTTCGCAACTAAACACGAAACATATCTCTGTCCCTCTCAATTTATGGCTCTCTCGTGTCTTCTGCAGCTCTGGTTGCGCACGCTCAAAAGAGCATGTCTTAAAAGAATAGAAGATATCTTTCCTTAGGGTGAAATCCTCGTACTGTGTCTTGTTGGAATTTATCAATCTACCTTCTTTAATTCTATGTCTTTTGAACACACCTAATCATAAGAATTTTGTTTATAGGTATAGGTACAGAAAAGATAATAAATTCTAGGAATCTTTCGTTATAAAATTGACTGTAATCCGTCAGGAAAGATAATTTGTTATCATAGCGAAGCGACTTTTGATTAATAAAAAAGCGTAAGTTTAGTTCTATCGCTTAGTTAAAAGAAATATTTTGTATTTTATACGTTGTGAAAAAATGAAAATAAAAAACACAACGACACGCGGTATTCCCAAGCGGTCACCCATCCAAGTACTAACCGCGCCCGACGTTGTTTAACTTCGGTGATCGGACGAGAACCGGTATTTTTCAACGTGGTATGGTCGTTGATATCAAATTATGGTTTATACTAGCATGTAAAGAACTTTGTCACTAGATGCAGATAAAAGTAAAATACTGTTATGGTCTGTTTTGGAGTACTGTTTTCTTTTTTTTGAGTTTTAACTCCTTTCTTTTCGTATTATAGAACACGTATACAACGCGCGCCGGAATAGTTCAACACCAACCGAGTTCGACACCGACACCAGTTTGAACAAATGTAATCATGACGCGCTGGATCGTCGGGACTCAGTAACGGGTGATAATCACTGAATTTAATCATCACTTATTCCATAAATACAATTAACGAAAACGTAATTAGTAAAACGGCTACGTAAATGAGAACGGGAATCATCATCATTTTGTCAAAAAATACAAATGCAACATATTTTTGGTTTTTATTAGGAGTATTTTTTAAGAGAAAATTAATGACTTCGCCGCGTATACGTGTTTAATTGACAACCCAGAGTTGAAACTCCATCCGTGCGTCCCTGGGTAGACGCACTCTTTTTTTGTTTATTTCATATTTAAAGCTTGGAGGATATTCTACATCCTCAACTTTTTTAAACACATCTAACCCTATTTAACGAGTCTATAGGATTTCGTTCCGTAGGTATAAGTGCACAAAAGCATGGGAATAGAAACTAATAAAAATATGGTAGCTCCTGAATTGGTGCCCAAAATTTTAATTTAATATCAGGTAAAGGAAAAGGAACCAGGTTCAGTCGTGGGGTAGTCTTCGCCATTGCCAATAAATAACAAAATTTTAAATTTACTGCCCCTGGCTTCCATTTGATGTGAGATCCGATCATTTCAAAATGTTTAAAACAATTTTTGTAGATTCAACAACAGCAAGTTGTCTCAAGTCGAGAACTGCAGTTATAATTTTGCTCGTTTGTAGTAAGGTTTCTAAAAAATCGCACCTGTTTTTCTTACACTATTATTAGTAATAATGAATCGACTACAAAAATACTTTCTTAACAAGAATATAATCCTAGCCTAAAACAATAAAATGTGATAAGTATGCACATGGGCCCGATTCCGCCGATTACCGAATGTTTTCTCTGTTCTTCTATTATATTGTTACGAAATAAACCCATACGCCGCCCCGGTACGACGCCTATGGGTTCTAGTATATACGACGACGATGACTCATTGCCCGTGACGGTGACCAGGGAACAGCCTGGAAGCGGATGGCGCGACGGGTGTTCGAGAATAAGCCCAAAAGCGATGACGAAGACCTTCGCGAAGGACTGAGCGGCTGTTTAAATGGGAACCACCGTCGGGAGTTAGTGTAGTCCAGACAACGAGAGCTGAATTCAGTTAACAAGTCGAGTCGCACGAGTGTCGAGAAAACCCAGTGAATGTTGTGCCGGAATTATTTTGTATATAATCGGTCTGCCACGCCGATTTTATTCACCGACCAACGTAACAATATACTTAAATAAAGCAGTAGTACTTCCTTTAAAAATAAATTGCAAAACCATTTAGATGATCTTTAGAAAAAAAAAAAGATATACATATATCCTGCTAACGTCGAACACCCTTTTAATAAAGACGGTAGTGAATAGCTGCTACTGGTCTGGTGTTTCTTCTGTCGAGCATAACAGGCTTTTGCCTCTGCTCTATGACAATAATAATAATAATAATAATATACATACCCGCTTTTGTATCTAAAGGCTGTTGTTATTATTTTACGGATGATTCGCAGTTATAAAATAAAAACATCAAGAAATCTAATAAATGAAGGTAGCATTAGAACTGCGATAGTATGCTTCTTCAAAAATCAAAAGTAATTGATATCTGCCGCACTTTACTAAGAAGTGAAAAAATCAACATTACTGAGTAGAATTAAAACCATTAAAAAAATGTCGACAGACGACTATATAAGAAATCAAAGAGAGGGTGAAGATTCGGACAATTAGTAAGACGATAATAGTTTAACTGAACAGCAGTTTTCTACCTAAATATTTATGTATAATGTGCATCAAATTTTTACCATTAAATAAGAAAATGAATTAAAAATTCATATAATACATTTTCAAGAACTGCTTTATAGTTATGATTAAAAAAACAGGAATATATCCTTTCAATGAATATATTTTTCAAGAGCAAGATTTTACACCGAGTGAAGTTACTAATCGACCAAATCCAAAAGTATCAAATGAAAACGATTCTAATGACTTTCAAGATAACACTGAAATTATTGAGCTAAGAACCAGCCATTAAATAACCCGATCAAATATAGATGAGACTCCCGAAACAAAAACAAGCTACAATTCAGAGACTGAATTTCTTGATCTTCATTTAACGCCAGACCATGGACCACCTCTACCAAAAGCTTCTGCTAGAAACAAGGAAACAAAATGAAAAGTAGGACAATAGATAATGTAGGGATACTCCGAAGAAAAAATAGTGAGAAGAACAGAACGAGTGAAGCAAGAGAAAAAAGAAAGCTTAATGAAATCAAGGAAAACAAGTTGTCAAAAAATTTATTTACTAAATCTAATAAGTCTAATGGTGCTAAGAGACAAAAACTTAAAACACAGGATACGAAATCTAATCATACTTTATCTTCCGGCAATTACGACATGTCCTTCCACGATTATTCGTCTGAAGAATCACAAGATTTAGAAGAAATTTCTGAAGTGAACGTAATTACAGAAATAAATTTTGGTGATTTCGTTTTGGTCAAGTTGATGTCCCAAATATGAACTTGGCACTATGTCGCTAACATTATAGACAAAGTCGATATTTACAAGGATTTTTATTAGATATTCTATTATCCTCATGTTGAAGGTGCGTCCGTCATTGTCTTAGAAGACGTTGTTGCCAAACTACTATATGAATTGAAAAACTAAAAGAGCGGCATCGGTTTCAGTTTTTAATTACATATAATTTTGGGCTTTTAAATGTGCAATAAATATGCATATGCGTTTTTCGATTATAACTCTTTTTATGTCAATTGTTTTGGAGAAATTTAATTATGTTGTTACGAAATAAACCGATACCCCACCCCGGTACGACGCCTATGGGCTGTCGAGAACTTTCTAGTATGCACAGCAATGTTGGGTGATTCATCGTCGGTGACGGCGGCCGGGCGGCGTTCGAGAAAGAAAAGCATTGAAGCGGAAGTCGCGATGGGTACTCTAGAAAAACCTCGACAGCGGAACATCTAGAAAGGAGGTATGGGTTTAAATAGAGGCCACCTTCGGGAATGAGGATTATTCAGCAAACGAGTCGAGTTCAGTCAAGTTGCGCCGGAATTATTTTGTACATAATTTCTGTGCATTTAGCCGCTTAAATCTGAGTTACGAAGAAATAAATTGTTGAGTTTTACCCACGCCAGTTTTTAAATTACCGATCAACATAACAATATTCTGTACCTAAGACTTAAACATTTGTTTTTCGTAGTTAATTTTTAATATATCTCCTTTTAACCTATTAATATATTTTCAGCATATTTCGAGAAAATAGTACTGTAACACCCCGGCCAAAACCGCCCCATATGGCGGATGAAACGAAATATGCAACTTTAAACAAAAAATTATTTTTTCTAAAATCTGTGAATTTTGTAATTCATGCTTTAATTTTTTTAGCATTTATATTACAAAAAAATGCCTGAAAGTGCCCCCACCCCCCTTTGTCATCATAAAATTTTAAATATGTTGCCACCCTGACTAAAAAATCACAAACATTAATAGTCACTTGGTATTTTTGTCTTTTTCCAGTATTTTTTTTCGCAGATTAATTAAAGTGCTACCAGACATTTATGAATTACAATTTTTAGAATTTGTACCTTATTTATGCGCAGAATAATAACTATGTTCTCATAATAGTAGATCTTAGATAAATCTTTGCAGAACCAGAATGTCATTTATGTTGTTGTCAAAGACAGGACGACATTTATGGTTATCGAAATAACAGGAAACTTGAATACTTGATAAATTAATTTGTTGTCAAAATAATAATAGGAAACCTCAACATTTATTTGATCCATGCTCGCTCTTGTTTTATCTCCTTTTTAGTTGGTGTTCATATGATATCGGCAATAAGTAGGTAAGTATGGCATCTCAATGTAGCAATCTTATCTATGAAATGACCTTGGTTGTAAAGGCAATTCCTATTAACATTTTTAGGTTGTACATAGATATACCGATAATAATCGGTTAGAAATATTTATCTATGTAGTTAAATTTTTTGGTAACTACTAACATTTTCGAATGATTGTACAATCGGTGGACATATACAATTGATACAAAAACTGTCATAAAAATTATGAGGAAAATGAAAAATGTATCTTGTGTAAATCTATCTTTTTGACGACGATGTTATATGCCATGAATCCATGATAAATGGATAACGCATATTTGGCCGGCAACGGTCGCGGGAATACAGCTTGGTACACATTAGGAAAATTTTCTTTGTACCAGTTTTACATACCGATTGTACATACACTTACAGATAACAGTTTTTCTTGGAATTGTTTGACGATAACAATTTGAGGACAGACCTCTTTGAGAATACATCCGGTTAGTTGATAACTGAAAACGATTTTATTCCGTGTGATCGATAAAATCACACCCAAAAAGCATGAATTTCTCGAATGTTATCGTTATTAAAAATCCACCCGTCCTCAGCCAAATAATTAAATTTTAACAGTAAGCTTTTTAAATAATGAGGAGCTTTTTGTTCCATTACCGTTCTCTTAATAAAGAATTATTGTAAAACATGATTTTGGCAATGTGGGAAAATCGGAGAACTAAAATAATTAAATATAACAGATGACGCTCGAGTCGATGCAGATTTTTATAAAGAATTTGAAGTAATTATTTAAATCGAAATAGCAAACTAGATTGCCATTATAAATTTACATTGAAATAATTGAAATTAAAGGCAAATATAAAATCACCTAGTAATTTTGACTTTCCTTTTTGATTTGAAAACCATATCTCTGTACAAAAGCTGGAACAATAAATCCCACGAATTACCTGATACGATCACACCTCCATTTCTTATCACTAGAAACCAATATGTAAATGAGAAGGCGTGCGTACTGGTTTCATGTTGAAAACGTGAAGAACAACAATTTATTTCAGAATCTGCATTCTAAAAATACGAGGTAGGTGTGTTGTTTCAAAAAGGATATTCTAATTAAAAAAACGAAATTATTAGCAATTGTATTATAATCTTCGACTTTAATCAAGGCTTATTGATAAAAAAATATGTAGTTTTAAAAAAATTATATATCATACTTGGGAGTAATTTTAACGAAGAGCTGAAAATTTATTTGTATATTTATTTATTTTTTCTCTTTAAATAGTGTTAGATGTGTTTAAAAAAGTTAAGAATGTAGAATATCGTCTAAGTTTTAAATATGAAATAAAAAAAAGTGCTCCAAAATTGACCATACAGTACTCCGAATGAAATTTTCTTTCTACCTACCTTTATGCACAGTTTTATGGACATTGGTTTCTGGTGATTAAATTAGATACATCCACATATGCATGATTTTTGTGTGAGAAAGTCAAAGACAAATTTTCAAAAATTCATGTCTGTTTTTATCGGTTTATCGGACTTGTTCGCCCAGGAGAAAAAATCGTCAAAACACTTGTTTGACAAAATACTTTTAACTTTTTCCAAGAAAACCAAATGCTAATCAAACATGACAATTTTAAAAACTACATTTTGTAGGTAAATAAGTTAATGAAAACCATCGTGGTGGCATTGATATAATTATTCTCGTGTTGTTCTTACGACCTATTTATTCTAATAAAATAACAAAACTGTTTTACTTTCCACCATTTACGATTTTATTACTGTTTTATTAAATAATCTAAAATTAAATTCCCAAGTTGGGAAGCGAACATCTTCCGACCAATTAGGAAATCACTTCCCAATCGATTGAAAAGCTAAAGTTAATAATAACTCATTTCCTAACTTATTAAATCGAATTTACTTTTTGGAGGTAAATCGAAGAGAACAATTTTAGCCCCAATTCTGTATGTACCTTTTGATACGAAGAGGCAAGAAAAAGTTCTTAAAGCACTCGGTTTAAGAGAGATTTACGCTTTTAGGTTGAGTTTACAGTCTTCTTTGTAACACGAAAGATAAAGTAAAGCTATAACTGAAGAATCAGTTTCAAAGAGTGTAATCAAAAATATATTGCACGTACAAAAAGTTCTAAGGGCTCATAAGGTCTGGGAGATTTGTAAAATCCAGCTTTGCTCGACGTTTTTTTTTTGAAAATGTACACAACATTTTAGAGTCTCGTTAGATAAGTAGATATATACACAAATTTTTGGTTAGTGTTATTAAATATAATTATGGAGCTGATTTTATTAGAGGAATGTGTTGATATTTTCGATGAACTTTGGTTTTTAGTGGAAAATGTTGTCATAAGAATGTCAGTTACTTTTCTTTCTTGTTCCTTTTTTGCCAAAAAAAGTATTGCTAAAAAGTATGGATACAGCTAGATATTTCCAGAACGGTTTATGAGAACTCATTGATATTTGGTATATAGGTAAAAGAATTTAAATTCTACACCTTTGAAATGTTACTGAAATTTCCATTGTTTTGGAGATACAAGGCCAACTTGATTTTTTTTAAATGGCACGAGGGGTCAAATTTAATATTTTTGAAAAAAGGAAAAAATAAAAAAAAACATTAAAATAATACAATTTGGAAAATGTGAAATTTATTGGGCTTGAGAAATGTTATCTTTAATTATTATTAGTTTTTTACTACCTGTGTTGATAGAAAAATTACATACAAATTAATAATTGTAAAAATAACACCTTTAACTGAAGTAAAACAAAAAAAAATAATCTTCTAGATTTTGCGTACCAAATTTCAACGAGTTCTGATAAACCATTCTGGAAATATTTAGCTGTATCCATTTTTTTAGCAACCCTGTATATGTGTGTTATCAAAAATAAAATGCTGAAAATAAATTTAAAAAGAATGATGAAAAATTTATGGGAAATATCGTTTTGTAGAAAACATGAAAACAATAACTGCTTACTTAATTCATTTCCTTCCGAACGTTGCAAAACTATTTCATTGCGGCTCATGTGGTTATCATCGCTCTCGCTTAGATGTTTATCTCGTTCTTCTTCAATATGGTCTTCCAGAAGGTGTAAAATTTGTTTCTTATGTAAACTCCCCAAGACTGTGCCAGTGGTAATTATTGCCATAAGAATCTACAAAAGTCTAATTATTTTTAATTTTTATAAATCAAAACACACTTACGAAAATAAGTATAGAAAACAAAATAGCCCATTGTCTTAACGTAATACAAACAAAAGTGCTAGTAGTTGGCTTGACCTCGATGGGCTTATTAATCTTCAGTACGTGCAACATACCAGAAACAAACTATAGCTTAATTCAAACCGAAAACACAAGGAAAAATATCAGCGGCTGCATCTTCTTGTAACTGTGCTGTTTTCCTAAAATAACTCACAACACACACTGCTGTTTTTTCATTCTCTCCCTTTCACACGCTAATATTGCATAAGTTTATCCTTTTCTAAAATATAGTGGTGGGGAGAAAATCAATATAGGTTCCGGGTTTTAGCGCCAAAATCAAAGGTGTACTTGCTAAGTATCAAATTGCACGAATCAATCCTCATTGCCACTGGTTAAAGCGTTTAAGGTGGCGCGTTATTATTACCAGAACAACTAGAATTGATTCAACACACACCCATGGCAACGTTTTTGAATGGACAGACGTTGTGTAGTGTCACTGAAGAATTTAATTTTGACACTTTAAAATTATTAATGAAAAATGGAATGGCCCAGCAAAAATATTTCCCACGGTGGAATTTTGCACCCCGCAAAAACAACATACAGTCCAGAAACGCATCAGCTTTTACGAGGTATGTTCAAAATTTTAGAATAATAGAGTGCTGCGTTTAAAACTGTTAAGATAATCATTAAATAAATGTTTAATTAGTGTTTGAGAAAATTTGTAATCTTCCACATACATTCTTTACCTGCGTAAACCCAGCATGTTTGAACAAAGGCAGAAACAAAAACATACCGGATGTCGTAATTGATACAGTTTTACATCACTTTGCCAAAATTAAAAGCTAGGCATACCTAGCTGAGGGGTGAGGGAAGTTCTGCTCAAGTACCTTAACTCAGTTTTTTCTAATTTAAACTACCTTGTTTTTTGATGTGTTTATGATTCATAATGTAGTGATGAAACATGGAGGTAGAATGATAGGAGGGAGCATGCCTCATTGTACCTATGTTAAAGATTCGCCGGCAAAAGAACCTCCAGCAAATTTGGTCATTCATATCTACAGATGAATAAAAAATATATGTAAAAAACTGTTTGCAGTACTCATGGAAGAGTCCAAAATGTCGATGCAGCAACGTAAAAAAATGAACTACTACCTTCGAAATGGTGAACCGTTACCACTTCCAACTTCAAGGAGTTCTGGACAGGTATCATCAAGAAAAAAATTACCACTCGTTGTGATTCGCCCTGGTAGTTCTAAGCGTCGTTCTCGTGACATGATTCTTAAATCGGGGGCCTACGAAAGAGAGAAGTACATTCCTCGCGAACCACCAGTTGACAGGGAAAAAGAAAAAAGTAAACTGCAAAATAAAATGGCGTTTGGCAAAGAGGTGAAACCCAAATCTAAACCGAAAATTGAAAAAATGGTGGAGAAAAATGAAGTTGAAGTAAATAGGTTTGATGAACGTGAGTTCCGTTTGTTTATTGAATGTTTTTAATAACTAGATCTATAATATGTTTTAGTTGTTAATGAGATTAAAGAGAGAGAAGAGTGGCTTCGACAAATGGAAAAGCTAGGCGAAGGAAAGAAACATCAGTTTGTTATTCAACAACAAATTCAAGCTAGAATTCGAGAAATGCAACAATTAAAGCTTGCCGATTCTAAAAATAAAGAACCGTAATTTTAACGAGCGTGAATAGTTTCTACATTTTTATGAAACTTATTTTAGTAAAGTATTTAGATTGAGTGTAGTTAATTCACTAGACAAAAATTTTATATGACAATATGTTATTGGTATGAATTTCAATTAAAACTGGTGTACCAATATTTCAGTTTTAAAGGCATTTAAATTATACTCCAAAAATAAAAATTTTGTATTTTGTATAAAATGTGTTATAACAGTTTTTATTGAAAAGGAAAATTTTCTAAAAAATAGGAATACTGACTATTCATTGCTTGATTAATAATGTAACCTTGTCCCAATTATGTGCTTACTTTATTTATTTTTTTTTTTAATTTTATGAGATGACTAAAAATTAATTACTCGCGTTTAAAAAGTTTCAGTCGCACTTGGCGTTGTTTTAACGAACGTACGTCGTGATAGCAGTATAATTAAAATAAGTACGTCTTTGAGAAACCCCAGAAGTCATTCATTTTATGACTTTCATTTTTGCTTTAAATCTGTATTCCTCTGTTCGAATAATTGACCAAAACTGATTTTGAAAATTTCCAGAATTTTTAAAATAATTGCAACACTGTTGAAAAGTTTAGTTTGTATCATTATTATCAGAATTTGCCAAAATAAAAAAAAAACACCAACACTGCATTTTACCTTGAAAATACAACTGATAACACCGTGGTATTACATCTGAAGTTTTATATGGGGGAAAACAAAGATAAATAGGTTATAACCTTAGATCATATAATAATCATATGATTATTACATAATCTACTACTAAGGTTATAACTAATTTATACTCAATTGCAGACTTTGGAAGGGTTTTGAGGGTTTTTACGCATCAAAACGTTTTAAAAAGAGATAGTAAACTCAAATTCTGCAATCTTAATATAACTGAATTAATTTCGTTCGTTGGAGTTTCAACATATAATGGTAGTATAATATGAAAATCACCACTGGAGGGTTTTTTCTTAGCAACTGAAATCAACAAGTGGTGGTTTTTTAAATTTGGCAAAAATTATACTCCTATTAATTTTGTATGTCCATCGACACTGACTGATCATGTTTACAACATGGTTTATACATGTCACAAAACGAGTAATTTAACCTAAATTTGATTTCGCTTTCCACAAAAGATTTGTAGCCAGGTTGCCTCTAATGTTATTGGGCGCAGCTGCGACGTTGGCGGACTTTTATTTAAAAAAAAACGTGCTTTATATGTGTTACGCGAGTTCCATGACAGGTCGTGTAGTGCTAATTCGAATTTCACTAATTTTTTTACCGCGTGATCAAAAATGCTAGTACTTTTGAAATAAAAATGTGAATTTTTCTTGCGTCCGTTTTGGTATAACGCAAGTAATTCTCCGACAAATATGTCAATCATGGCATGCGATAATTTTAGGTTATGTGTTGATACACTTTGTACACTTAATCTGATTAAGATTAAGTTGGCGGTGACTTTGCAAATTTAAAATTCCAACAATCTGTTTATCTTGACAGCGGACAATCAGAAATTATAAAAAACATTGTGCTTGGTGATACCAATTTCAGTTAAAATCCAGGATCGCCAACAGACTCAGTGTCAACAGTGCGAACTGCGATTCAGTCATGTCATCAGTCACATCAGTGCCTCAGTCGGTATAGGCGCACACAATTGTTATCTATTCTGTGGTCTTGGTCAGGTCGGTCAGAGGGGATAGTCTGTGGTCAGTCCTCAAGTCCTCAATTTCACCGGGGTAGTTTTGCTGATTACAGATAAAATTTCGTTACAAGTCGTTACAGGCAAAAATCACGACGTCACCGGTAGCGGAATTTCGTTACGTTTGGCAACACTGGTCAGACGTTTGTGACGACACGTGGTGAAATTCAGGTGTCGCTTGTCGCTTCGGTAAGTTCGCATTAGTTTGCTTTTGCTGCAATGGTCGGTCCGGTTTTATTTTCGTTTCAATTGTGTCGTTATTTTTGTTTTTTGAAACCATGTGAAAAACGATACAGTGACTTCATCCAGATTTATAAATCGATGTTATCGAGTTCGTTGGTGTTTCTATATTTGCAAGTGCGTGTAACCACGTGTAACGCTATCGTGTAACGTAATTTAAAACGCGTCATCTAAATCAGTAATTTCTCTAGTTTGTGAGAACTTGGTCAGAAGGTCTTTAGAAGAACTTGAGTATGGATTTACATTAGGTGAGTAATGATTTAATTATGATTTTACGCCTTATTTAAATAAGAACGAAATAAATGTGGAATGACTACATAACCTCAAAAACCGTAGTCATGCCGGTCATTTGGGTACATAAATCCATTGAATTAATAGTGGGATTTAGTGGGAATATTGATATTTTTTAAGACGTTACAGTATCGATACGATATAGAAATTTATGTCGAATAAAGGATACCTTTGATTGTATTCACGATACGGTATTAACCCTTTCACTCATAGAAACAAAGCGGCATTGATAAAGTCCTTTTGAATTTAGAGTTAGAGAGTGCCCACTATAATACACTGACCGTCAAAAAAAAACCGGCCACCCTGAACAATTTCGCAAAACCAAACTTTAAAAATTAGTAATTTAACTAGTGATTGTTATTTTATTGAAGAACCATTCACTACTGACACATGTTGTATAAATTAGCAAAAAAAAGACAAATAAATGCAGATAATGGTTTATTATCCCAAAGACAAACGTCCTTATAGGAACAAAACGTGCGAATTTATAAAAAACAAAAGGCATGGTGTTACAAGATTAAAAAAAAAAGAAAACGACACTAAACAATCATAATACATGTAAATAATCAAATAAACTGGTCGAAATAAGTTAAGGATATTAAAAAGTCAACTAATCCAAAAAAAAATCTGGCGATTTTATAACATAAATTAATGAAGAGCAGTATGTTGAGTATGTTTATAAGGTTTTATTCGAAAAATATATCTGCAACACCACAAGAATTAAAAAGAAAGCAAAATCCTAACACCACTGGGCAAACAGGTAGGCGTAAAATAGCCTTAATCAGGGCCTTAATAATGTGTTACACCACCGCGATTTTGGGCACACTCCTGTACACGTCTGGGCCATACTGAGTATCAACCGATCGAACATCTCTTGATCTAAATTGTCCCATAATATGGGAAGAAGAGGACGCATATCTCTTAAGTGACCAGGAGGTGGTTGGTGCTCAATGAATGCTCGGCCAAGCATATCCCAAGCATGTTCGATAGGGTTAAGATCTGGTGAACGTGCTGGAAGCGGTAAACGTTCAATACCGAGAGTCTGCAGGCGCTGCGTCACACGGCGGGCTCGATGTGGAGTTGCGTTATCATTAGAGAGCGGATTTCTGTCGGGCTAGACAAGGCCAAACTCGGTACGGCTCGTACGGGATGGGAATTCATTGCATTTACCGGCTGCACTTCGTTTATTTGAGATTAGAATAACGCTGCTTCGTTGCACTCTGCTGTTAATTCCAGTTCTCATTTAGTTAGCCGTTTGATTAATAAATCGTTAATTGTATTTATGGAATCAAGTGACAATTAAATTCAGTGATTACCTAGCACCCGCTACTGAGTCCCGGCGATGCAGCGCGTCCCCACTAAAATCGTGACGTAGCCCGACAGAAATCCGCTGTCTAGTTATCATCCAGAAATCGAAAATGGGGCTCCAAATTATAGCGATAATTGTCAACAATATCGTCTATAATGTCAGCCTCATAAATTTGGGACGTCATATTGCGTTCGCAAACGTACAGCTCCGTACGACCTCCAAGAAAAATGCCTCCCCATACCATAATTGTTCCCCCTTTAAAGGGATGTACTTCTTGGACATACCGGTCATCAACTCGTCTGCCTGGGGCTCTCCATACTCGAACAGTACGTCGGTCGCTATAAAGACCAATTCTGCTCTCATCTGTAAACATTACAGTTGACCATTCATTTTGCCAATTTAGCCTTTCTTCACACCATGCCAATCTGGCACGTTTATGTTCATGAGTTAAAGGAACCGTTCTTAAAGGTCTCCTACATCGTAACTCTGTCTCTTTGATTCGATTCAGAACAGTTCTTGGCGTTACAGAAGTACCAGTGGCGTGTAAAAGCTCCTGCCTGAGTAAAGTACAGTGAGATCTGGGATTTCTCCGGGCTTCTCGAATCAATAAACGATCTTCACCTATTGTTGTAGCCCTGGGTCTACCTTGCCTTTGTCGTTCAATTACAGATCCAGTTTCTTGGTACCGATTACTTAATCGTGAGGCCACACTTTGACTCACATTTAACATTTGAGCCACATCTACCTGGCGGGCACCAGCTTCTAACATTCCTATGGCTCTATTGGCAGCATCTGGTGATAAATGTCTTCTTTGCATTTTAGAAAGCTTAATTTTGACAATTACTCGCTATACTGTCACTAAAATGCAAGGAAATAAACATTTGAATGTACTGCCTCTTGTGATAATTTTGTAATTTCTTCGATAACTTTTTACGCATTCGTCCAAAAACTTTATTACTCACGGAGGTGTTACACAAAGCCATAAGACACATATCCACGCCACCTTTGATACTTTTTCGCCAGTGGAAAAAAAAAAATAATATCCTTAACTTATTTCGACCAGTTTACTAACAGCTAAGATAATGGCTAATACTGATTGTGCGCAAGTAAAATCGTTTTGAACTTACGGTTACAGATATTATCATAAAAAATATCGAACTTCTCAGTTACATGTATAATTTGAGACAGTTTAGAAGAGGCGAATTATAATGATGAAATGTGCTAGGAACTTTATAATGGAATGTAAGTGCGTGTCTGCTTATAAGTCTGTTTACATTTATTTTTATTTCACCAAGCACTTCTTATTGTGCCAAGTTGTTATTTTTTAGCACTTCTACTTGTGTCAAATATTATTATTTTTTGAAGAAAAGTTAGACATGCCGCATACTTTCTACTTGAGAGAGAATTTTCATTTACTAAATTTAACAAGGCTTTCTGCTCACAGTGCACAGTGGGACGAAATCAAAAATATGTGGCCAAAATTCTGAAACAGCCCAAGTTCATTAAAAACCTTTATGATCTCTACCAAAT